ACTTACCTGCACATGGGGTCGGTTGTGCTGATGCTACACTCTGCACTATGTGCAGATTCTGGAGCGACTTTTGGATAGTAGCACTTGGGGAGCCTGACTTCAGTCCAGCCAAAGATCCCGAGGTAGTCCTGTAGGCGTCCGCAGGCCCGACGTTCTCTTCTACTTTATTTTGTACTCTGTTTTCACTAGATTTCGAGACAGCTTGTATTTCTTTCAGACATTTATATGTAGTACTCTTAGATAGTTCGTAAATATTGTGACACCAGATTTCGGGTAGAGGAGTATATTGACATTGTAGTACTGGCTTGGTTATTTTTAGCTGTTTAAGTTTTCCGCTTGTTCTGTTTATCGTTAATCTTTAAATATTGATTACCTATTAATTCAAAATCGTAAAAAGGATTAAAATGAAAGAGTTAGAATTTCTATATTTTGTGGCTTGCCTAGCTTCTACGAGTAGGCACCATCACGACTTCCGAGGGTGGGAAATCCGGGTCGTGACAAAAGGTGTCTCAAAATCTCATAAACTCTTAGGATATTCACAAAGAGATCAAAATATGGATGGATACTTCTTGATAATCAAATTGTTCAAGAAGCTGGAGATCAAATACATCCCCAGTAGGTCTGCATCATCCTACATTCAAGAAAATACGCGGTTTCAGCCCTCGAATCACGGAGATAATTAGGAGAGAAGAATCAAGGGAGAAACAGAATTGTACTCATAATTGATTAGTAAAAATATTGTTCTCTTATTTTGTGATTGCAGATTATTTTTCATATGTTGAAAATTAGTTGCAAACAAATTGGCACGCCCAGTGGGACTAGTTCTGCCCTTCATCTCTTCCTCTTGTGAATCGAAAACTCCAAGTTTCAAAACCATTTGTTGCAATGGTAGAGTACTTTAAGTCTAGTCTTAAAGTTTCGACAAGCCTACACCCCGACAAACCTTGAAGTAGGAGGCATTTGTAGACATCAAAATTTTAAAGGATCAAGCCAAATCCTAAAGTAAAGATACTACAAGATTCTTGAAATCCTAGGAGTCTATTAGGGATTCTTGGAGGTTACTCTATCCTTAACCCTAACTCACACCTATATAAAGGGATACATATTCCCTTGAAGAGGTGCCTCAAAATCCCATAAACTCTTGGGATATTCACAAAGAGATCAAAATATGGCCGGATACTTCTTGACAATCAAATAGTTCGAGAAGCTGGAGATCAAATACATCCCCAGGAGGTTTGCATCATTCTACATTCGAGAAATACGCGGCTTCAACCCTCGAATCACGGAGATAATTAGGAGATAAGAATCAAGGGAGAAACAGATTTTTTCTCATAATTGATTAGTAAAAATATTTTACTCTTATTTTATGATTGCAGTTTATTTTTCATATGTTGAAAATTAGTTGCAAACAAATTGGTACGCCCAGTGCGGCCTGTTCTGCCCTTCATCTCTTCCATGTAAATCGAAAACTCCAAGTTTCAAAACCATTTGTTGCAATGGTAGAGTACTTCAAGTCTCGTCTTAAAGTTTCGGCAAGCCTATACCCCGACAAATCTTGAAGTAAGAGGCATTTATAGACATCGAAATTTTAAGGGATCAAGTCAAATCCTAAAGTAAAGATACTACAGGATTCTTGAAATCCTAGGAGTCTATTAGGGTTTCTTGAAGGTTACTCTACCCTAAACTCTAACTCACACCTATATAAAGGGATACATATTTTCTTGAAGAGGTGTCTCAAATCCCATAAACTCTTGGGATATTCAAAAAGAGATCAAAATATGGCCGGATACTTCATGACAATCAAATAGTTCAAGAAGCTGGGGATCAAATACATCCCCAGGAGGTCTACATCATCCTACATTCAAGAAATATGTGGCTTCAACCCTCGAATCACGGAAATAATAAGGAGAGAAAAATCAAGGGAGAAACAGAATTGTACTCATAATTGATTAGTAAAAATATTTCTCTTATTTTGTGATTGAAGTTTATTTTTCATATGTTGAAAATTAGTTGCAAACACCATCATAAGATACTCTCTTCGTCTCAATTAACGTGACATATCTTTTTTATTATTTTATTTAAAAAGAATGGTAAATTTAAATAAGTATCAAAATAATTAAATGATAATTCATTTAATCAAAATGTAGTTTCTGAGCGACCTTTTTTTCATTTTGATCTAGCATTTTTCTTGATGTCACAATTTGTTTTCCGTATTTTGTCTACAAGGCGGGAAAAAGATTTTCATTTCCTTTTAGCTAATCATAAATAAGTTCAATAGCAGGTACAGAAGTTTAGTTGATATATCTTAACATTTTGAATCATATACAAATCTTTATATGCTTTGGAAACTTATTGAATACCCCTTTATCATATTAAAACACAAAACCAGATTCTTCACCTAGAAAGAAAAGGAATGGGTCCTCAAAAACAAATAAAGCTGGCAAGTGAAAGGTAGAAAGTGAAAAAGGTGGGTAATCATTTCAATTAGAAAAGGCATAAATTGCCACAATTTGTATCTCATTGGTTTTGTTTCTATTTACAAAGAAGGGCAACGGCAAACTGCTAATCGTACTCAGTGGCGTCACTCATTGTATTGGACATCTAATGACAGTATTGACCTCTGACACCTTCATGTGTGATAAAGGAAGATCAACCTCTGAGGTTTACCTGTCTTTGTCTATTGTGTTTTGCAGTGAACAAAGGTAAGAAAAGTGTTGTATTTTTCAAGTAATTAGGCTTAATACATTGTCGCTTAAATTAACAAAAAAGAAGAATGGGATAATGCATAAAATCCATCCCATCTCATAACCCATTTACCAACTATATACCTTTTTTTTTGGGGTCCTATTACCCCTGAACTTATTTTTACCATAATTGATTTAACATTATATGCTCAATTAAACCCGACCTTGATTACACCTCTTCCAAGCGCGTGAGGCATAATTTTGAAAGGCCCGTCTGCTATTCAATCGCCACGTGTAATGCCAAATAAGCCATAAGAAAGGGTCCCAAACGTTAAACTCAGCTATTTTAATTGAACCCATTATCTTATCCCTCTTTCTAAACTTAACGGCTATTTATCATTGTTGAAGAAATTTTGCTGCTGCTGCTGAAATTGAGGTAAGTTTCAATCAATAGAGTATAAATTACTAATCTTTAGTCAATTCGATTTCATAATCTTTATGTTAGGGTTTGAAATTTCTTCCCCAATTTTTATATATTAGGAATTAGGGTTATGAAATGACAAATACCAACTTGAATAGACTTTGCATGGATGATGAAGATCCAATGCTCAATGTTCAAGTGCGATGCAAACATGGAATTTTGTTGCGAGTACTTTAAATATTGAAAAGTCAAAGGTCTTAGAGGAAAATATTGAAAAGTTAATGAGGTGTACAATTTTTTTAATCGAGATACAAGATATCAGGTTAAGGAGGGAACAAATCAACATACTGTTTGCCTACGAAATAATACTTGTAGTTGTAGGGCTTGGATGTTAAAGGGGATACCATGTCCACATGTCATAGCTGCACTATAAAGGGTATGAACCAACTGGCTATGTTGATAATTGCCACATGAAGGAGACATATTTGATGACATTTCTCACTTCCTTCAACCACTCAATAATATGGAAATGTGACCTGCATCTACTAACCCTCCTGTTGCACCACCAATGGTGAAAAGTATGTCTGGCAGGCCCAAGAAGGTTAGGAGAAAAGAGGCAACTGAAATCAATAAATGTGGAAAGCTGCCTAAAACTGGACTTGTCATGAGGTGTAGCATCTGCAAGGTTGTTGGTCACAACAAGAGGGGGTGTAATAAGAGTGCTACAGATTCATCAGGTTCAGGAACTGCTGCTGCACCATCAAATGTAACTTCTACTGCTGCAGAAGCATCAGGTTCAAGAAGAAATAGAGGCAAACCAAAGGTAATATAGTATAACTAAGTGTATCCTGTTTCATTTAAATTCAAACACTATATCTTATTGTTTATTATTTGTTAGAAACCAAGAAATGTAGAAGATGAACCTGCTGCAAAAAGAGGGAGAGAAAGACCTAGAAAATCAACATCTACTGCGCATAATGTTTCTATTGTTGCTGAATTTTCAAGTTCTGTAACATCTACTGCTGCTACTACATCAACTACACCTATTGCATCAGCTAGTATAGGAAGGGGAAGAGGCAGGGGAAGAGGATGATCTAATGCAACATCTGCTGCAGCTAGTAGAGGTAGGGGAAGATGAGGATCTAGGAATGTAACAACATCAGTTAATAGAGGTAGGGAAAAAGGAGGATCTTGGAATGCAACTCACTCAGAACCTAATACATTTGCTGCTTATCATTCACTAGCCAGCTGGTTTGAATGTTCTGCACCTAATACATCATCATCACCTAATGCATCTGCTGCAGCTAATGCCTCGACTGCTACTGTGAGCACCTAATTTTTGCTCTACATGAAAACAACTCCTAAAAATAGACCAAAATAATTTTAATTGATTTTCTAGAAGTTTTTCTTTATTTAGTTGCATTTCATACATTTTTAATATTTTAAAATCATAGAAAAATCAAAAAAATTGTCACGTTTTAATTTCATGCCATCTTAGGTTCAATTCGCATGTAGGAATTAATTTTATTAAGCAAAAAACCACAAAATAGTTATTTGTACATATTTAGATTTTAGCCATTAAAATTAGCATTTTTTTTAGTTTTAAGTTAATTAGTTGTTTTAATGTTAAAATAGATAAAGAATTTTATTTTTTTACAAAAATAGATTGATTTAGGATTTTAATTAATTAAAGAAAAAAAAACAAAGAAAAGAAAAATAGGAAGAATACATTTTTGGTCTTGTTTCTTTTAAAATTGGGCCAATAACTACAATGGCCCAATTAGTTAAGACCCAAATTCCCTCCAAAACAGCCCCAAACCCGCCTGATCTGACCCGACCCAAACCCCATTCTCTTTAATTAAAACCTAGCTCCTAGACCTAAACAATCAGATCCCTTACCCCTTTTAGACCCATCGCCGTTTACCCAAAAAAAATGGAGGACTGCTCTCTGCTCTCACTCTGGAACGACACAAAAACGGGCACCCTTCTTGTTCTTCCTCATTTTCTAACCTAACAAACCACTCACAACCAGACCCTCCCCAATTTTTGAAGGAACAACGGCGCTCCCCCTCCTCTCGAGAACAATCAGATCTGATCCCTCACACATTACACCTAAGGAGATGAAAAAATCAGAGGCTCTTCTTTAAAAGAAGCGCCGTTCCTCCCTTCTTCTCCTTCATTGCTCATTCACATACAGAGAACACACTCTTTCCCTCCCATTTTTCTCTGATTTCATCAACACACACACGTTGAAGCCTTTGGTAACAAGTGGAAATTAGAGAATCTAGCGCTGAAATTCGAAGGTGACGAAGCTGATTTTCAGCCTTGAATTTTTATTTTTATTCTCCACATTTTTCTGGGAATTTTAGAGCTTGATGAAGCCGTAAAGATTACTTCGAAGCTGAGAGTTGTTGGAACTGTTTGATTTCGAGCTCGTTGTTGTTTGTTGGCTGGAGCTTCATTTTTTCATCTATGGGTACTAATTCGTCAAGTTTCACCTCTTGAATTTTGCTTCTAGGTATGTTCATCTTCTCTGTTGCTATACATCGGATCATGAAATGAAAATTGCTTTGTTAGTTCTGCTCAGTTCTGTAAGACCAGTTGGCTCAATTGTTAAATTTAGCTTTGAATCCCTCTCTTTATTTATCTTTGGTTCCGGTAGCATAATTTAAATATATTTGAGTATGATGTTATTTTGCTGATGAACTCAACATCTGTCTACTAAGTTTTACTCACATAAAAGTGATAAATTCGTGGGCCTAAATCTATTCTGCTTTCGTCTTAGTATTTGTACTAAAAGTAATATTGCTCCTTTTGTCTAGTTGTGTTTTGTGGTGGTGAAGTACCTGAATGCATATTTATACCAAAAGCTTTATTTGTGCAGAATATTTATACCAAATGCTTTGTTTGTTTGTGTAGAATAACTGATTTATTCCAGTTGCCTTCTGGATTTTAATCGGATTAAATGATTTTGGATGTCCTAAATTTTAGCGATTACAAAAATAGAAACTAATTGGTAAATGAAAGACATCTTTGGTTTCAGCAGTGTATGAATCGAGTTGTTTTGTAATGGAATTTGGTTGCCTTAAGTTGAAATGGCTTGCCAAAACTGACATATATAGATCAAAGTCTCAAACTAATGTATTGTTATCTTTCAGTAACTCATGAATCCATGTTGCTATCTTTAAGATTTGGGATGTTAACATCTAAACTTTTCTTAAGATCACAAACGCATTCCTACTCTCTATAATGTGAAAACCTACCATGCTACCGCTGCTACTACAAAACACAGTTTTCTTTAGTTCAATCTCCTTAACACCCTACACACATCATGTTTGATTCTCAACAACAACTTCAACAGTGTAATCAAATTTCAGACCCACCTGATATAGGATCTATGCAAATCGACGATGCAAGTATACATACACAACCACCTACTTTCCTACAAACTCTACTAACAGAGAAATACCTTCTGCCATCTTCAACCAACCAAATACCTTCCCTAAACACTCTAGATATAGCAGATGAAGTGCTCCATACCACTACTGATGATGATACTTTTATACCAATTTCATCAACTGATAAGTCACGTTTATATGCGCCATGGAAATACTCTGTTATATGAGTTGCCTATAGAGTTTTATGACTTGGAAATACTCAGTAAGATTGGTTCAAAATTAGGGCGACTACTAAAGATAGATACATGTATATCATCTACTACACGGGGAAGGTATGCTCGTATATGGATTGAAGTGCCTTTGGAAAAACCCTTAAAAACTCATCTTTACATAGGGCACCACAAACAGTCTCTTCTCTATGAAGGGCTGAATCTTCTATGTACATACTGTGGAAGATTTGGGCATCCTACTACTAGTTGCTCTGAAGTTGTTCGTGTATCAAATGAGCAAAACCAAAAAAACAACCAGGTAGAAACTAATAGCGCTCCTAATACCATCCCTTCTAAGGAAAATGAATGGAAAATAGTGATATTTACTAAGAAAAATATACAACCACCCAAACAACTCAACTTTGGCAAGGGGCAGGTAACTACAATGGAGGTCACACTAGCAACACAACCACTACCAGGTCAGGCCCCTAACCCTACTTCACCTGTATTGGGCCGGGTCACTTCAACAAGGTCAGGTAAGCTGCAAGAACCCATTATGGAATTTCAAAACAAATTCCAAATGCTTTCAAATGCTGGGCCTTCAGATTTCCAATCTGATCTTTTTTACAAAGGCCCAATAGCAAAAAATATAGATACTGAGCCTTTATTAACGAAGCAGCTTGCAAAAGCCCACTCCCATACGCCTGATAAGCTGCCGACCTTATAGCCCATTTCTTTTCCTAATAACCCTAAGTCTAGATTACCTGACTCACAATCTCCATCTTTAGTTGATTAACACACGTCTTCCCGGGGCCACATGACACTTATTCAACACTTGCCATGTAACCAACTACTTACATCCTCAACCCAATTAAACTCAAACAAATCAGAAGGAACCCTTCCTATTTCAGACACGTTGGATCCGACTCAGAACAAAGCAGTAACAACCATGCATGCTACAGTAAAACTAATTACTTCTGATCCTAGACTTCCTCAAAACCCATGCAAACAACATGATGAGTTCCCATGTGAACATCATCATGAAGAACCCATTAATCTGTCTCCTTTGCTTCCTAATATTTACTCTCCCTCAATTCAAACACCCGAACCTAATACGACTCTAACTTCTGAACCACAACAATTACCTAAGTCCATTCTCAATGCAGAGACCAACCTTCATAGGCATGAGCCAGAGTAAGTTTCTGACGGCAAATATACAAACCAACAACCAGTTTTTTCATCTTCCTTGTCTCACAATGGCAGGTCCTTAACTGCCTCAGAGTTCCTCACCTCTAATATACACATCTCAACTAATGACCACAGAACTTCCTCTCCAATCTTGGTTGGAAATGGGGCTGTAGGGGTATGCTTTAATATTCACTCTGCAACTTAACAATCAAGAGGTGGTATTGCTAATACAAAATCCGACTCATTTAACAGAAATAGTGACAAAAGGAATGAGGATGGGAATGGAAGCTTACAATCAAAATCAATGGTATACGACTCAGACTCCTCTCCCAATGGAACAACAGGCTTCAAGCTCCACCCATCAGCCATGGTCATATCAAATGGCACAGATGAGTCTAGTTTGGTACCAAACAGTAAGTCTATTACCCTTTTACCCACCCTATCATATGGGTCAGGTTTATGCACTTTGGTTCCAGCAACTGGACTCATTCAATCCACTCTCTCCATATTCAAGCCCACTGAGTCCTCTAGAGAGTCTTACCCTACCAAACAGTCCAGTCCAATCACCTCCTCCATCTCTACAAGAACTAGACAGAGATACAAGAGAGGAACTGATAGCAATTCTTGCGGAGATGAGGGAGACAAGAACAAAATTTTGGTGGTTAAAAGGTATCCAATTTTACAACCTCAAAGAACAGTTCGAAAAAAAGTTCATTCTAAAGTGTCCACCGGAAATGGTCACATGCTTGCTCAATTTTCGTCAAACCACCAATCCAGAGGTTGGGAAATATTCTATGGTGATCATTCCGACACTTCTTCAACTTCCTAGCCTGGATCCGATGACATCCTCAGTTGTCCATCCAATGACTCAGGCTCCTATGTCCTAGCCCAGAAACCCTAATTCCTACATGAACTTCTTAGTTTGGAACTGTAGGGGCTCTCACAATCCAGAATTTAGGAGGCACTTTAGGTCTCTACTAGATAATCATAGACCTACTCTTACATCTTACTTGAAACCCACATGCAAGATCATACAAGCTTACATGAGAACTTTAATTTTGGTAATATGGCACAAGCTTCTGCAAATGGTCTTATAGGTGGTTTAGTGGTGCTGTGGAATGCTGATCTTATTAATGTCACAAAAATGAGAATCTCTGATCAGGAAATACACTGCATGGTCCAGGTTAGTCCCACAAAACCTCCTTGAATATTGTCTGCTATATATGCTAGTCGACACTACCAATTACGTGATATTCTTTGGAAAAATTTAATTAGTTTGAATGATAATACTGCTATGCCTTAGCTAATTGGGGGAGACTTTAATGAAATACTAGAATCTAAGGAAAGAGGTCTCCCTATGAATAATAATAATAGGGCTGATAAATTTGCTAATTGCATGCACTACTGTAGCCTTATTGATTTAGGTTATCAAGGTAGCCGTTTTACATGGACTAATAAACAAAGGAATGGTCGTACGATATTAGAAAGGCTCGATCATTTTTTAGCTAATTATGATTGGTTAAACTTGTATCCAAATACAACTGTGACTCACTTGCCTCGTACCCATTCAGATCATTGCCCTTTATTAATTAACTTAGAACCTCCTCAACCTATACAAAATAGAATATTTAGGTTTGAGACGATGTGGGCATCTCACCCACAATTTCAACAACTAGTTCATATAACTTGGTCGAATAATTTGCCCTTACTAGCTACTACTGATAACTTTAAGACAGTGGTCACACGATGGAACCAAAATACTTTTGGAAATATTTTCCAACAAAAAAAGGAAAATTCTTGCTAGATTAGCAGGGTTACAATCCTCCATCCATTATTCCACTAGTATTTTCTTACAAAATTTGGAAACACAATTGTCTTTGGAATATAGCCACATTCTTCATATAGAAGAGGAATTTTGGCAATTAAAATCACGTATAAATTGGTTAAATGAAGGGGATGCGAATACTAAGTTCTATCATCTCTTCACACTCCACAGGCGTCGTAGAAATAGAATTAATGCTTTACAAGATAGTGTAGGTAACTAAGTAACTACCACTAATGAAATACATGATTTAATTAATACTTATTTCAATGCTCTTTTTCAATCTGATCAATTAATCTCTGAAAAAATGATAGGAAATACATACAAATGCGAGTTATCTTCTGATGATATTCTTAGTCTTGATACACCTCTTCATCAAAATAAGATTCTAATTGCTTTAAATAGTTTCAAGGCATACAAAGCACCAGGACCAGATGGGTTACACCCATTTTTTCTACCAAAAATACTGGACGGATGTAGGTGATAAAGTTAGCTCGTTTTGTCAGGATATTTTCCGCTAAAAAATAATTCCTCCTGAACTTAACAAAACTCTTATATGCCTTATCCCCAAGGTAAAGCATTCTACAAGAATTCAACAATTTAGACCTATTAGCCTTTGCAATACCGTTTATAAGATTATTACTAAGATAATTGACTCAAGCCAATCATTAGTAAAATTATAGGACCTACACAATCTAGTTTCCAACAAGGAAAAAGAGATTGTGATAATGCTATAATAATACAAGAATCATTAAATTATCTTGCTAAAATGAAAGGCAAATACCCTTCAATGTTATTAAAGCTTGATTTAGAAAAAACGTTCGACAAGTTGGAATGGTCTTTTATAAGACGTGCATTGTCTTACTTTAATATACCTCCCTATATGATTTTCTTAATCATGTCGTGTGTTACAACCACCTCAATATCCATATTAATTAACGGTTCAAAAACTCAATATTTTACACCTACAAGAGGTATTCGTCAAGATGATCCACTGTCACCCTACTTATTTATTATGTGCATGGAATTATTTTCACGAAGCATTTCCCTATCAGTAGATTATTTGAATTGGCAACCAATTCGACTGTCTAACAAAGGTCCACTTCTATCTCATCTCTTCTTCGCAAATGATATTATATTGTTCTCTAATATTACTGCCAAAAGCTGTCATGCAATCATCGATGTGTTAAATAATTTTTTCAAATATTCTGGGTAAATATTCTGGATAATTTTTTAACATTAAAGAAGGTACCTCTTTTGGTAAATACTTGGGATTTCCCATGTTCCAAGCAAGACCCAAAAATGCAGATTTCCAGTTTCTCCTTGATAATTTTATAAAATAAACTAGCAGTATGGAAATCTAGGTTTCTTATGTTAGCAGGAAGAGCCACCTTAATAAAATCTACTCTTAACCAGTTACCAAATCATATCATGCGGTACATCCACATTCCGGCACATATTCTTAATAAAATGGATCAATACCAATGGAATTTCTTGCGGGGTACTACTTTAGGGAAAAAAATTACACCTTGTTAGATGGAATGAAATTACCAGACCAGAGGAAGCAGGAGGCTTAGGGATTCAAAAATTACATCAAAAGAATAATGCTTTACTAGCAAGTCTAGCCTGGAGGTTATTTAAGACGCCACAAGCTATGTGGGCTAACATCCTTCTGACCAAATATCTTAATGCTTCTCCTTATAATATTCACTCACAAATTTGGTCTAATATTATTAATGAATGGCATCAATGTCAGCTAGGTATAAAATGGAATATAGGTAATGGCACTCATATTAAGTTTTGGGAAGACCCCTGAATTGGGCCTGACACAACAATTAGATCACAAATACATGGCCCTTTACCGTTAAACTAGCAGAATATTACTATCTCCTCTTTAATTAATAATAACGAATGAGACTGTAATAATTTGCCCTTTGAATTACCCATTAATATTACTCAAATAATTCAAGTTAAAATATATCCAAGTATAATAATAAGGCTGACAGCATATTCTGGGGATTAACTCCTACGGGAAAGTTCACTACTAAATCTATGTATAATATCTTAGAAACAAAACATGATGTATCTATTAATAGTTCTACAAATTATAACTGGATATGGACACTTCCGGTACTGCCCAAAATCAAAGGGTTTGTTTGGCTTCTTAAAAAAAATGATTACCTACCAAAGAATACCTTAAACATATTAATTTAATTCAAGATGCTACTTGTCAATTCTGCTATCAAAAGGATGAAACAATTAAGCATTTATTCTTTGACTGCATAAACGCTAAAACATTTTGGCAGAATTTGGATATTCGTGATTACATTAATTATAAATTGCACTACACAAACTCTTGTAATTGGGTACACGACCTCATAACTTGTAAGAATTTACATTTTCCTTACCAAATCAATCCAACAACATACATGCCTCTAAGCTTATGGAATATTTGGTTAGCACGTAATAATAACTGTGACAAACATACTACATCCACAACTTCTGCTAAATTAACTACTCAACAAGCAGCTAAATTTACATATCTAGTAGCTAAGAAGCATACTTGTGTTAAAAAAGAAACAACAAAATCTAAAATGGAAATCTCATAAAGAATTTTTCTATAAACTAAACACTGATGGAGCACATACAACAAACAAAGCTGGTATTGGAGGACTAATACGAAATTCAAAAGCTGAATGGATATTGGGATTTATAGCAGCAGTCCCAAGAGATTCATCAACTTCATCTGAATTACATGCTTTGTTGCAGGGACTTCAGTTAGCTTACTCAACAACCTTGTTCCACTAGAGGTGGAAGTGGATTCTCAAGACCTTATAACACTTCTCTATTCTAACAGTGTCTCATTCGATAATTTGACTACTGACTGCAGGTACTTCCTAGATAGGTTAGGTAAGCTTGTAGTACTGCATGCGTACAGAGAATAGAATAGGGTTGCAGATAAACTAGCAAAGGCAGGCTTCAATTTTGACATTTACTCAACAGTGCGAGTTTTGGATGACAACCCAGATTTTGCATGGTCAGTTTTTCAGCAAGAAAGGAGTGCAGCAAGAACCTGTTTTGGAACACTCAATGCCTCACTCTGATAACTTTCATATTGTAAAGGTGTTGTAATAGTAATGCAATGGTTAGTAGTACTCATATCGGTTTGTAAAATCCTTTGGCACCCACTACTGATGCATTAGCATGTAATAGGCTGCAATATAGGCAGCCTCCCTCTGTACGCAATACTTATTATTAATATATGTCTATCTTTTAAACCAAAAAAAAAGATTTGGGATGTTCAACATATTTGTTAGAAAATGTCTTAAGATTCATAATTGATTTCTTCTTTTATTCGTTAAATGAAAAGCACAAGTAATTATAGTTTTTGTACAAAAGTTAGATATTAGTTTGTAGGTAAGGAAAGGCCCAATAAGTTTCGCTACTGCAAACCTTCATATAACCATAATTTTTTTTAGAAAAATTTTAAATTTATGAACATCGTAGTTTGCTTTAGGTACATAATTAAATTATTACAGCTACGAGTACGGTTCCCGTAGCGTAATGTGATACCTAATCTCAAATTAGATTTAAATAAGAGCATCCTTAGTTGCTTTAGTGAGATACAAATCTTTTAAAAATAAATTGAGGCGTGCCATCCACAAATGAATCCTATAATCTATGGCCCTCATATAAATACAAAACTAGTGTAGAAAATACTTTGAACGCGTAGTTGCTTTAGGCGCGAATTATAATAAAATAATCATAGCTACGGGTACAGTTCCCTAACGTAATTGTGATAACTAATTTCCAAATCCGGGGGTACATTTATGTGACCCGACCACAACTTCTAATAACTTTAATAAATTAAACATGTTGTAGATCGTGGGTACGGTTTCCGTGACATGATTCGCAATGTGTATCAAACAAACAAGTGTACGACAATCGTAACTTGTTACAGAATAATTCCATAAAATAATTAAAAGGCCAATTATTAATAGTTTAAGTGACCGTACTAGAATCACGGAACCCAAGAATGCCTAACACCTTCTCCCGGGTTAACAGAATTCCTTATCTAGAATTTCTGGTTCGCAGACTTATAAAGTAAAGTCGAAATTTACCTGATTTGGGATTCTAAAATAAACCGGTGACTTGGGACACCAAACAAACTATTCCAAGTGGCGACTCTGATAAATTAATTAATCCCATTTTGATTAATGTCACTTTAATTGGAAAAAACTCCCATATACCCTCGGGTGTAAAAAGGAGGTGTGATAGCTCTGGCAACTCTGCTGGGGATTTAAAACCCAAAACATCCAGTTCAGGGTTCAAGAATTCGAGCTTAGAATAACTGTTGTATTTGGCTTTATTTATTATCTAATTTCTACATGGTTGGGCCTAATGTGTTAAATATTATTTTTATCGCTTTGATATTATTTGAACTGTATATAAACTGTTACGAAACCCTTCTCTTCTCATCTTCGGGAATGTGCACGCCGGCGTGACACCTTTTTTGTTAGTGTCATAACTTAAATTAGAAAGAGGCTCGGACAAGTTATAAAGCCGGATGGCCTTTTGGTTCCCCGGTACGTAGCTCCCCCCCTCCCGGCTCGAGTTGTCCGCTCGGGTACACCAAGTCTAGAATAATACCCAGATTTTAAACCTAGAATAACTAAGCCTCATGTTGGATCCCTAGTAGCATCATGTGCATTTGACTTTGGGGACTCAACAATGTGGTTGGGTCCGTCTAAGACAGGTGCACTCGAAATAAAAAGACCATCTTGATGCATCTTACGTGCTACATGCACATCTGTTTGGTTCGGCTTGCATGTTGACCGTCTTCTAGAATAGGGAAGGAAAATCAAAAAAAAGTGAGAGGTAGATATTTAGAAAATTCTGAAACTCTGCCGAAATTCTGAAGAAAAAAAAAGAAGAAAAAGAAAATTCATTTCAAAATGAGCCAAAATTTTCAAATGTCATGTTTCCCTTGTTCCGTCAAAACTGACGGAACTACGCGGGTCTGATTCTCACCAGATATGAGATACGTAGGCAAACCTCATCGTTTCCGACCCCAATTTTCAAAAATTCAAAAATATGTTCCTTTAATTCCTTCTTTAGAAATCTTTCCTTAGAAAATACAAAAAAACAAAGAAGTTTTTTTTAACTTAAAAAAATAGTTTTCTTCCTTTTAAAGTATTTCATACGAAAAAAAGAAATAAAAAAAAATCAATGAAGAATCAAATTCCAAAATACAGGTTTCCTTTATTTTGAAGTATTTTCCCCAAAAATTCCAAAAAAAAAAATCAGAAACAAAAATCCACAAATAATTCTTTTCTTCTTTAGAAGTCTTTCTTTTGTAAAGACCATAAAAATCGAGAAATAAAAGTCCAAAAATATTTTCGCTTTTCTTTAAAAGTACTTTCGTAAATTAAAAAAGAGAAAAAAAAGAAAGAAGAGAAACTCAGAAATCCGAAATGTTTTCTTAAAAGTCCTTCTTTCGAAAGTCCATAAGTCAAATCAAATTTCAAAAAAAAAAAACAAAAAAATTCTTGTGTGAGTTTGAATTGAGCAATTGATATACTCTGACGTTTGTGGTGTATTTGGACCTGGGTTTGCTGCACGTATAAGGGAAGAGCCTGTTGAAGGCCCAGGCTTTACTGGGTTATAGTCTTTTAGGCCTGCTATGTGTGTTGAGCCTGCAATTTTTATATGTGGAGTTCGCACTTGTATTCATTATTTCTGGGTCCATAATAATTTTGTAATTGAACAGATGGGGAGATTAGTAAAAGGGGTAGGGTATTTTAATTCTCGCACAAATGAGTAGAAAGTATGCCTATATGACCTATGTGCTATACTTGTTGTTTTGGATTTCATGCGTTGTACACTAGTAGAAACCATGCCTATAGGAATCACACACTCACTCAACCTGTTTACTATCAAAGCATGAATTTAAGTACTTTACTTGTTTCCCATGTCTACTGCTATGTGTTATTAGACAGTGCTTATAGGAAACAAGTGTCAATAATTAAATTTGTGCAACTGCATTATTTTACTAGATAACATGCCTATAGGATTATACTAATTCTGCTAGATACCATGTCTATAGGGCTTTAATTGATCAACTGTTTCTGCTGTCTTATTACACTGCTCACTTAGATAGCATGCCTATATGAATAAGTGACAAATCTTCCAATTATTAAAGAACCTAATTATAAATACTGTTACTCGCTTAGAAATCATGCCAATGGGATCAAACACGAATAATTCTGAGTCTTTCCAATGGCTTGCACTGCCCCATTGTGTAAATCACTTAGTGATCATGTCCATAAGTCTTAATAACTTATAATCTGTAGACTCGATAATCTAAATAGCAGTATTGCCATAAGGCTTTTCTTGAACTGTGCAGTCATTCAGAAGCCATGTCTATAGGTTTAAAATAACATCTTGAATCTGAAACTGCCCATAATTTGAAATCTGCCCGCGTGCATTTGTTGTTTTTCTACTTTTTAAAGAAGTCTTTTCCCAAAAATTCAAAAAACAATCAGAAAAGAAAAAGGAATAAAAAAAGTTTTTTTCCTTGTTTAAAAGTCTTTCTTAAAAAAAAAAAAAAATTTGAAGTCCAAAAATATTTTCGCTTTTCTTTAGAAGTACTTTTGTAAAATAAAAAAAAACTCAGCAATCCAAACTATTTTTCTAAAAGTCCCTCTTTCAAAAATTAATAGGCAAACATCCAAAATACAAAAAAAAAATATTTTTTCTTTTTTCTTTAGAAAAAGAGTAAACAAATGAAAATTCAAAGAAAAGTATCTTCCTTTTACATTTGAAATTCCCAAAGTTTAAATAAAAAAAAAGAATTTTAAGAAGTCTTTCTTTCAAAAAATAAAAATAAAATCAAAATCGAAAATTCAAAAAAGAAATATATATATATATATATATATATATATATTTCCTTTCTTCTTTTAAAATATTTCTTTCGAAAATTCCGGAAAAAAAAACAAAAAAAAAATTCAAAAATATGTTTTTTCTTTGTCTTAAAGCTTTCATGGTCTCAGTTTTATAAAAAGTAAAAAAAGAGAGTTTATTTACTCCATTCTCGATTTTCCCGAACTACGCAAGATCTGATTCATGCGGGGTCATAATACGTAGGAAATCCCCATCGGATTCGATCATAGCCATAAAATTAACTGAGTGAAAAATAAACTGAAAAAAAAGAGAAAGAAAAATTGAGTGAAAAAGAGAGTGACAAAAATAAAAGGGTGACAAAAAAAAAGAATGAAAGAGAGTGCCAAAAATAAGAGCGACAAAAACGGAATGAAAAAAAAATCAAGAGTGATTAAGAGAGGCAAAAATAAAAGAAAAAGGGTACATAGTGAAAAAGGTTAGTTAAGGCCGGAATGAAACATGCAACCGTTCAAACACATGGTAGAAACATCTAACTGTTTAGGTGCATTGCATCCAAACGTGCGATTTCCTATCTGTTAAGCGTCTCCAAACTAACAAGGTTGTTTGGTGTGCAAACAAGCCAGGTTTTGGTGGTTGGTTTTGTTGTTAGTCTAGCCTCCCCTCCTTCACAAGATCCAAAGGCACAGATGGCCTCCACAAGCAATCTACTAATCATCCGTCCTGAGGATAGCCCGGCATTGGCTATTCTGCAGCTAGAATCAGCAGTTGCTGAAGAGAATAAGATGTTGCGTCTCCACATATTGGAAATGTGGGACGCCTGGTCTAATGGTAGGGAACCGCCAAGTGCAATCCTTGGGTTCCTTGAGTTGATCCTCAGGTCAAGTGAGGTTAACAACGTCCCTGTGCCCAACCCGCTCATACCATGCGGGCACTCTCCAATACCATTCAATGATCCTGGCATGCCTTCTGTGGTTCGCCCCCAGGCGCCGGTTTCCTGGGCACCTCCAATATTGTTCTCTACAGCACCAGTCTGCACCAGAACGCAACCAACTTTACCACGGCCGTATGTTGAGCCTCCAATGTTCACCTTTCAGCGTCCACAGCTTCAATCAGAAATAACATATGTGCCCCCATACTCTTTTATTCAACCTCCGTAATATGATCTCTCGGGGGAGCAAGAAAAGGTTGTTAAAAATCCCGAGCTAGAGTAAATGGCTCGGAAGATGAAGAGCCTGGAACAAAGTCTGAAAAATATGCAAGGTCTGAGTGGTCAGAAGAGTGTCTCATACTCTTACCTCTGTATGTTTCCCCATGTCCACTTGCCAGCTGGCTTCAAGATGCCAAAATTTGAAAAGTACAACGGGCACGGAGACCTAGTCGCTCATCTGAAATGATACTGTAT